TGAAATGCACACCATTCGAAGCTTTGTATGGGTATCGTCCCATTTCTATTCCCATGGGAGATTTTGCCCCTGGCCAGGATCAAAGTGGGGAGGAGTTCCTGAGGAATAGACAAGTTATGTTACAAGAACTTAAGGACCATTTGGTAAAGGCACAAGCACCCATGAAATTTTATGCGGATCGAAATAGAGAGGACAAGGAATTCAATGTTGGCGATTGGGTCTTTCTGAAATTGCAGCCTTATCGACAGCAATCGATTGCAATCAGGAGGAGCCTCAAGCTAAGTGCTAATTTTATGGACCGTTAAAAATCATATCTCGCATTGGCAAAGTAGCCTATCGACTAAAGCTGCCACCCGATTCGAAGCTACACCCTGTTTTTCATGTGTCCCTGCTGAAGGCATACAGAGGAGATGTTATTCCAGAGGAAGTTACTGTTCCCATCCTCACCGACGAAGGAGTGATCAAAATATACCCATCTGCTATTTTGGAGAAAAGGATGATAAAGAGAAAGAACTCGGCAGTGGTTCAATGGCTTGTCCAATGGGTGAATATGTCGAAGGAAGAAGCCACTTGGGAGGATGCAATCTATATCATGAAGCAATTTCCTGAAATCCAACCTCCTTGGGGACAAGGAGTTAGTCGAGGGGAGGGAGGTGTTACGCATTAGCTGAAGACAACCGTTGGAGTTAGTTGGAAAGGAGTGAGGAATATTAGAAAAATAAGTGAGTCAAGCGATGTAGTTTCTGTCCAAATATGTAATCTCTCTGTTAGGTAATTCATTCCAGTAGCTAGCTTATCTTTTGCTGCTGTAATTCTTCTTTTGGGTTACTCGATAGAGTCTATTGAGATGCCAGTCAACGGTTGGCAGGGCTTGTTATGCCCACTTTTGATAAAGGATTATCATAAGAATTGGCATTTTGCCTTCCCTTTACTAGAGGTCGAAATCCCTAGCCAAGCGGATCCAACTCGGATTTGACTTCATCTCAAACCCCAGAACCAAAAACCTCCCTTGAGCTTGGTCATCCCAGATGAGCTGAGCTACGAAGTTTGGCATTCGTGAGGACGCTGCCCTGTCAGAAAGGGTCATTTGAGAATTGGTCACCGCGGCGGAGCTTCAATCAAAATAGTGAATATTTGGACAGGTCAATTGAATCTTTCGCAATAGGAATATTAGGAATCGGAACAGGAAAACAAGCAAGGCTAAAAAAAGAAAAAAGAAAGAAGCTCGAGCTCATCTCTTGCCAAGCTAGCTCCGATGCTACTGCTCCGATCTTATACTTCAATCAAAGTCATTTCTTTATTCACTGGCCATCCTCTTGCTGGTGGGCCTTGCTGCTTGGCTGCTTTGCCCGGTGCAAGCTCTGAAAGCTGAGGTCTCTGTACCGGTCATTATTGAAGGGCTCACCTATCAGGTGGCAGAGAATTTGAGAGGGTGCCCCCACTACGCGGTAGCTTGAAAAAGATTCTGCTAATAGCTACTGATGGTCTAACCAAAGAGACTTGTCTCGCAGTCTACCCCGTAAGAACTTTAGGCAAAAGGTGGGAGTGGCTATTTCTCGCTTTGTATCTGAAGC